CCCTTTTCCATGTTCACGACCGAGGAATAGCGGAGAATGGGACGAGTTGGCTTTTGACGTCACTTCGGGAGTAACAATATTTTGTTTCTGAGAAGAATACATGTATATGTGAACATGCGACAGTGTGTGTCAAAATCATTGTAGAATGCAAGGAATATATGTTGTTGGAGGCTGTAGCAATACAGGATGCATGGAATAGAGTATTCCTCTTCATTCAATACCTCTATCTCAGTGAAACTCTACCAGAACCGAGAAAAAGAGCAAAGAAGCGGGCTGATTTGTGCGAAGCTAAAGCTGGGGAGCCACTGAGGATTTCTTTGATCTCGGTTCGCTGCTACTGTAAAAACCTAGAGATTTTCATGGCCTGTATATTCTTCTCTATCTCTAATAGAAAGCTTGAAATTGTCAAGGTACTTAATTAGACACGAATTTGGGATAAGCTGGAAGCCATCTGACTATTTTGAGCGCAAACAATCCTCCAAGTCCCAAACAAAACTATAGGTGACGAAATTACACGATAAATTAAATGCGTTGTGTTTTGAAATAGAGACTTGTCTAAACGTTCTACAAGACACGAAGAAGATTGTTGAGGCTTCGAACTGGTGAACTAGCTATGTATTTGTTGATTTTATAAAAAAAATAGGTGCTCAGTGAGCACATGAATCCACGACCCTAGGTAAGTGGATTAGGAATCTCTGCAGGACCTGGGTTCAATTCAACATCTCCAGATAACAAAAGATACTTTTCTGACAAGAGGTAATTCTTGTTATCAAACTGAACTCAGACAAAAATTCTGGATAACATTTATAATTTCTACCAGAAGACCAACACTTTTCTTGTTCAAATTTTGTTTTAAAAAAATCAAGTAAAAAAGACTCTTCTTCACGAGCAAGCTTGACAATCCATAGTTCACAACTGATATCCACAGTGAATAAAACAGACGAAACAGTAACACTCTTCATCAAGAAATATTGAATTCTGCCTCTTACTTTTTTGCGTTTAACTGATTTTAAAACTTCACGTGGTAATTTACTGTAGATGTTTCTCTGTCTCTTTTTCCACATGCAGCAACTGATAAGTATACTGATTAAAGGGGTGATGCAGCAGCTCTCGTAAGGTCTCACATGAATGGCTTGCTACCCTTTGAGAGAACAATAGAACAAACAACAGAAACAATGCCCCTAGCCCTAAAACAATAACAGCTGCTAACAATGAAGGGAATTACAAGCTTACGAGAGTTGCTACACTTCTGGATTAAAGATTAAAGATTTACTCTTACATCAGTGTATCTTGCCTTAAGCGTAACACTGGAAAGATTGTCCTTCACTCCAAGTATTTGCAGAAAAAATACTAGCTACATAACGACCAGGCATAGCTTCTGCGGATGTGTTTTCCATGGTCATTATTTTGTCAACTAAAGCTTTTTGTTTGTTCTCTACTAGGAGAGTCATATCTCCTTAAGAGGAACTCTCAGGTAATCTCGGTGGAATTGACTGCGTTGTGCTCTGACTGCATCATCCTTCAAAAGGGATGCGTACTCCCTTGAAAGGGCTGCACAATCCCTTGAAAAGGTTGAATTATCCCTTAAAAGGGCTGAATAATCTCTCAAAAGGGCTGAATAATCCCTCAAAAGGGTTGAATAATCCCTCGAAAGGGATTCGAGTTTCCTTGAGAAGAATGGAGAATAATGAATGACCGTGAACAGTGAATTCGTGATTTCTGTGCCATTTGAGTTGCACAGTGATGTAACCGGCCTGATTGCAGATTCTGTTCTACATTGCAGAATATTGTTTTATAATTTAAGTCCATGGCATTAATGTCCTCTTCATCACAAGCAACATTAGGGACCTTTATACGATGCAAGGACGGGAAGGCCAAGAAGGGAACGGCAGTGGACGCGGGAAACTTTCACGCGCTGCATCACCAATTTTCGTATAGGAAGGCGACGTCAATAACTCTAGCTTCATAAAAGCTTTTCATAAAACCAGTGACATCCCTTTGAGATAGTATAGAAATATTATCCAGTTAAGCTTAAATGATAGTGAACAGACAACACAGAACTTACTCTTGTTTATATATGTAAAGCAAACCTTCCTGATCATGATCTGTTAGTATTTAATATTGAAAGAATCCAGAATTTCCATATGAAGAATTTATGTGGACGATCTTTGTATTGACCTGGTTCAGATAGTTTTTTGTCAGCAGAGCATTTTAAAATCGATCCTGCCTTAGCTGAAACAAATATCTATAATAAAACAAACATTAAGTTGAGTTCAGGGTTGTATGAAAACATGAAATAAACATCAATTTGCAAATGTGCATATTATTTGCTCGATAGCTGCTTTGAAGGCACGTAACAATCGTATTTGCAATCAAAACCTTTCAGAAACCATTCAAAATGATGCAAGATCATTCGAGAACAATGTTTTGGCACATTCGCTGATAGCTGTACCTGGTTATAGAGAACTTTGTCTACTCACCAATTCATGTCACTTTGAAGAGCATGGGAAAATGAGTCTACAAAGTCAGACGTAGGGTCAGTGGTTCGAGATCGTAGTCATTGAGAATGCTCCGTAAGGCTGTGCTTCTGCTAGTAAATTCGCATTTTTTTTCTCCTTTTTTTAGACAAGCAACTCCCTCTAACGAACATTGGCAGGTTTGACTAACTGAAAGTCTACCAACAAATCAATCGTGACTAATCTTCACTTATTTTGTTCCTCTCAATCGTACAGACAGTCATTCGGGCATTAATAGGGTAGCGATCTTCACACATCTGAAGTTTGATTAAGTACGAATATTCTTTTGTTACACTGAAACGGACACGCTTGATTACATAGAATCTACGGCCGAAAGGCTGTAGATTCAAAAACACACGCACGCCGGAGGCCGCCTGTAATCTGGCCATGTTTCTCAATGGCCATTCCGAATACAGAATTGTTTTGTTCTTTGAGCTTCGTCTTTGAGGAACAAAATACATCTAAATTACAAACTTAGAATGGATCAAGCATTTATAAATATAATATGAGGAAAGTGAGACAACAATTAAGATTCGACCCTATAGCTACCGACGGAGATTGTTGTGGTGAAAGAAGAATGTGCTTGTGAGTCAACCAAAACGCAAACTAATAAGTCAAGGACTCCCAGATTATTAGCGTGCGTAAAATGGACATTTCATTCAAAATAACAGTGAAGTAGAAATGTATTCATTTAACTGAAAGTATATGGAACCTATCTTCACGATCTTGTTGAAGGATTTTCCATGATTTCACTAGTACGGAATATGCAAATTTGCGTAGCTTGTGTTCGTACACAGTAATTGAACATGCATATACTACAGTCAGTCAACAATAACAAAGCAAAAAGTTACCTCACCTTCAAATATTGTTTGCCGACATCTTTGCATATCTCTTATGTTAAAACTATTTTCAATCATTGATCTGGAGAGGTAGGCAGGAGTGGAGTACTTGTATTTCGGGGGTAATTAATATTTGAATGTAAAATGTGTTTTGACACTCTGAAATTTGCACGCTCCGTAAAGTCAAATTACCAACTCTTCGTGTTCATTGACATCTTTGTAACTCTTTAAGAGCTGTAAGCTAACTCTTCAGTCAGTGTTTGTACCTTTATGACCCAAATGGACCAGCAAATCAACGATCCTGGCCTAAATATAATTATACAACGTGGCGATCTCGACTGGCAACCCGCACTTCAAAATGGAAAAAAATATGTACTTCACAGCTGTCCAAATCGCAGCTAGACTCCGAATTGTAATGCTAGATGATACAGTTCTTTCACTTGCAGTTCTTGTCCAGTTTTGATAAAATACATGTATGAATCACAAATAACCCGAAAATGTTTTGACTGCCCTCAAAGCTCAGTCAAAAGTCTCTGGAGTGTTTTAGCCCGGTTCCTGAAGTGACGTCACTAGTAGCCCAACCCAGATCCCACTTTGCGCAGTCGTGAACATAGAAATTACATGTTTAAACGCCTGTAGAAACGCAGGGATTTTATCAATC